CTGATGTCATCAGTACTGATCACACATGCATCTGTGCACAGGGAAGATTACATGCATATTCATTATATGTGGAGTGCAGTGCTGTGCTAAAGACCTGCCTCAGTTTTGATCATTTGCTTGGAAAATAAGAAATGTCTGCAGTGAATCATTCAAACATGCACTGAACAATCTAAATATTGTATAAAAAGCAAAACCAGTTTATAGTTAAACTCATATTTAGTAGGAACACGTTTGTTCTCAGGCAGCGCTCCTGTAATTCCTTCAGCAGTCTTCAGGAATAACTCTCTGGAGTCTTAATGACTGCTCAATGATCCAGGTCAGGAAATCCCAGGAAGTTGATTCTGTTCATCTGGATGTTTTCAGTGGGAGGAACGTTTCTTCATCCTCCAGCTGACTCCTTCAGTCTCAGCTGACTGCAGCCTTATAAACAGGACAGTTGTGTAATGACTGAAACCAGCAGCACAGATTAAAACTGGGCTGTCGAATGACAACATGACCCCATCAGTCTTTTACAGCTGAGGGGAAAATGAGGAGGATGTCTTATATTTGCAGGCTTTGGGCTTCAGATAGACTCTTCCTTCTTTCAGCTGCTCCTGCTGCCACAGGTCTGCCTCCATCTCAGCCTAACATCCTCTTCTGTCACACCAGCCCTCTCCGTGTCCTCCTTCAGTACATACATGAGCCTCGTCTGTGGTCTTCCTCTTGTTCTTCTGCCCACAAACCTCACTGTGCTCATACATGTCCTGCTCCACCCTCACACGTCCTCATGTAGGACCACACTTCCTCTCAGTATGTTGTCTCTGGCTCCACAGAGACAGTAAGCTCCTGTTTAAGACGTTTTCAGTGCACTTCCTTCACTTGCACATTCCCATCTCCGTCCTTCAATCTCTCGTCCCAGCCAATCGGTCTTTTCTCCAGCCTCAGATGAAGCCTTTTCTTCTGCCGCTCCTCTCGTGGCTGCACACCTAGCCTCCTGTCTACATCCCCTCCCAGACCATCTGCTGAACTCTTCCTTTGGATACATTCTCATTCCACCACCAAGTCTCCTTGTCCTCTTTCCTCTATCCAGACACTATCCCAAACACCTTCTTGGCAGTTGTGCTGTAGTGCTTCAGTCCAACCCAGACCCCAACTCTTTGCAACAGTCAGCCTTCAGCTTCCACCACGTAATCATTTCCTCCACCTTCATCCATCCTATACTGCCTAGGTAGACTGTTGCTGCCACCACCTTACAGTCTCCTACCTCTTCAGATGGTACCTTTAAATGAGGTGTACCTGTGTGAACCTGGCTCTGCTCATATATTACCTTCTTATCTTCAACAAAGCTATTTCCATCCTTCTCCACGATCCATCCTCTTGCATTTCTCTTCTTAACATCAAACCTAGTTAACCTCTCATCACCTCTGTTCCTTTCATTTACATTAACATCTTCTCCCGTCACTAACCTCTCTCACCTGGGGACACCAACATGTCATCCAGAGTTTCATTCAGCCTGTGGGGCAGATGGCCTGACCACCTTCAGCATCACCTAACGGACTTGCAGTGTCACATTCATGGTCCCACCTTCAATTCAGTGTTATTCATACAGCATTGCAACAACAGTCGCCTCGAGGTGCTTTATATTGTAAGGTAGATACGCAGGTAAATAACGCTGAGCTGAGCACAGCCTCACTATAAATTGGGCCAAGCCTACCCAGGCCCGATCCAAGTCTCCAACAGGTGGACCTCAGCCATCAGTCCACCTGAGTATCTGACACATACGGGCACCAAACGGTGCATAAAGCACACATGGGTGATTGTTCAGCGTTTCACCCACTGTACCACATCCTCATTTAGGTTTGACAGCATTTCTATTTGATAATGGCGGATGGGAGGAGCATGAATGAGGCTGCAGTTTGGGGAAGGCCTCACAGACCAGTGCAGATCCCCATGTACTGACATGAGGTGGATCAAATGAAAAAGGGAGCTGTGGTCCTGCTTAAATGATCTCCAGTATGTCATGTTTCTGTGATGACGGCCTGTTCAGTTACCCATCAATGATGAGGCTCTCATACGCAGCCTTCTTGTCACACACAGGACAGATCCAGGTGGGTTTCTTCTCATTCATCTGCAGGTAGAGGGCAGCATCGAAACACTGCAAATGGGAGCACGTCACAGCCCTGCATGGCACCATCAGTCGCATCTTACCCAGCTGCAGGACGAAACAAAGCTGAGGTCAGGCCGATGGGTAAACACAGCGGGTCAGCACTCGGCTCATACGTGAAACTCAGGAAATATGAGTGTGTGTAACACGTTATAGGTTCATGTGTCAACATCTGTGACGTATGTAAGAGTCAATTCATCAGCAGCTTTCTGCATATGTGCACACGGTCATAATGCTGAAGCTGCAGGGAGACTCAACCACACAGCCTCAACTGGAGCTGAAGGGAGTTCCCTCTCAACCGAGCAGAGTTTAATAATCACAGCTCGGCAGGTTTTCTTTAACACTATGACCTTCACCTGACCTCGGCCCAACCAGCTCCTACTTAGGCTACGTTCACACTGCAGGCGAAAGCGCATCAAATCCGATTTTTTTGACCCTATGCGCCCCATATCCAATCATGGTCTGACATTTGTGCTCATGATAGCGTTAAGCATACAGTCTAATGAAGGTTAAAAGTGTCGTTCAGCGTTATGTCTGAACTGATATATTGATGAAATGACCTGCATGCTGTGAATGAAGGCCTAACACGCTTACATACACATAGACATGAAGTATAATTTCTAGGGTAAAGGTGAAAGACATCTAGCTTTGTCTCTGCTTGGCAACTAGTGATCCGGGCCTACAGGAAGCATCTGGAGCAGCCAGACAACCATATAGGGGGAAACGCTGTTAAGCACGGAAACTAGTTGAACTGCCGTTAATTATAACCTGTACATGTGATGTTTTGTCTAACGCGAGAAGGGGCGTGAACCCTGACATGATAAAACCATGCTGAAAGTACGTTTTGACGGGAGATCTGGGGTGACAATATCGAGCTGTGCATCTTTCCACACACGTGTTTAATAAAATCATTGTTTTGACGCACTTGGACCAGAGGTCGTTTGTCTCTCGCCTCAATCACGAATCGGGACAAGAGCCATGTATGACATTTATCATTTGTTTACATATGAGTCCAGATTTCTCGTCATGTTTTGGTTCATGTCATTTTCCTGCACACTACTTACATGTTGACTGTTTTGTTATGAATGTGTTAGTTTAGTTTGTGCTGCTGTCCAAATATTTTCAGGTCCAAAGCCACAAAACGTCCCATAGAACAGAGTCTGGCTGCAGTTCTATATCAGTGCAGTTCTACAGTGAGGAGGGTTTAAGGTGGAGCTTGTTAGTAACACTACATGTAGACACCTCGTTCTGACTCGTGGACTCAGCACACACAGTGTTCAAACTTCAGGGAGCTTCAAACGTGTCACATGTTGCATGGCTGCTTATTTACCGGGCACATAAGAGACACTCGAAGGCTTGTTGTAGCAATCTCACTGTCTGGATCTGCTGTCAGCTTCTCTTTGACTGGAACACAGAGAGGAGGGCAAAATGCAAAGACACAGGTTGAAACGCACACGACAGGGCTTCACCACATCTCTACACTATGAGCCTGGTCTTATACTCAGCTTTGACTCCTGCCTGGAACATGTCAGTCTCAGGCAGGAAATAACTAAGAACATAACTGTCATGTCTCTGCTGTTTGTCAGCATGACCTGATGTCATGTGATCTACCTGATGTCATGTGATCTACCTGATGTCATGTGATCTACCTGATGTCATGTGATCTACCTGAGTATACGCGGGAAACATAAGTGTGAGGAGGATGAATAAAGTCGTAGTAAGACTGTAAAGCTGAGGCATCAGTGTTGTAGTCGCTCATGCAGCTCACGTTTGGGTGAAGACCATTTGATTACAATCAGACCTGTACTGTGTGTGTGTGGGGGGGGGGCCTTGTTACTGTAACAGTTACTGCTGCTCTGTAACTGTCACAGTAACAAGCTCATTATTACTCAGTGCTCTGGAGTGGTCTGGGTTCCTGATGCCCTTCATCCTCAGTCTTTGCAGGAGCAGGGGAGACGTCAGCTGCCTCACCAAGTACACAGACATGGAGTAGGTCTGAAACAAAGACGGCGTGGCTCATAATCAGTGTGAAACAGCAGGAGTCAAACACACGCTCAGGATTAAAATGACATCAATAACAGGAAGGAACAACAGATGTTCAATGAGACAACCGGCTTCAGCTATTGATGCTTCTCATTGTCACACTAATAATAACAACAGAGACACTTCATACACAGTGTGGATCACTGATGTTTGGCATCAGGTAAAGTCTCGTGTCTCGACAACATCCCACACACACATCTGTCTGTTTCATATCTACGGTGAGTTTCTCTTTAACAGGTTGTTGCTGCTGTGAGTCCCTGCAGCCGGAGCCCGGTTGCTGTTTCTTCCAATTCTGCTGTTTTGCTTCAGAGATGAGACTAGAACGATGTGACTGTAAATGTGTTTCTTTAAAGAGAAGTGTGTGTGTGGCAGTATCCAGATTACAACCCTGTGAATTCAGAGAGCATCTCCACCTCCACACATCACAGCGCATAAACATAAGCATGCTTAAAACATTTCCAACTTGAGCTTCTTCTCTTACCTTTCCAATTTCAGGTGCCCATGTCACTGAAATCTGATTGGGTACTGCAGATGAGAGTCTAACAAGGGAGGTAATGTTGAGTGGTCTTCCTGGTCTCTTCTGTTCCACGCCATTTTTTGGTGGCGGTGCGTAGCCCTGCAGGCAGAAATCCAACGTTAGCATATTCACAATATAAAGTTTGCCTGGCTTCTTGTTTGACTGCAGTACAACGAGCACTTACTGGCAATGGAAACAGTTTTCCATTGACCTTTATGCAAAGACTGTTGGGGTAATTGTCCTCCTGAGGGCAGCTCGTCTCTGATAAACAAAACCTGAAAACACACAGAAACATTTCAGAGCCCAGTACAAAACTTTAGATATAGTCAAGATATACACAGATATACTCTGATATAGTCAGATATAGTCAGGTATACTCTGATATACTCTGATATAGTCAGATATACTCTGATATACTCTGATATACTCTATTTAGGTAACTGAGACTTCATCATTACTCTTAACTGAGAAGTGGGTCGAGCCTAACTGGTGTAGGAGAAATAAGACAGAGCTGTATTTATATTTTAAAATCTGGACAATAATGTTTTTTCTGAAACGCAAACAACGAGATCTGTTACAAGCAGTTATTTATGAATGTTTACTGTCATAATATGACAGAAATAATCTGGTTTGATTGTCACAGGAAGTCAGGGATCAGTCCCAGTGTGTTCAGATCAGCGGGCTGGTATGTCTCCCATTTTCATTTATCAGCCACTACAGAGTGTAAAACATCCACACTAACATCTCACAGAGGACAATATAACGGGGGTCAGGTTCTAATGTAAAGCCCTCTTCACACTGACCGCGTCAATTCACCCGCCGTGTATATCTGAACCAAGCTGGAGCTTTCTGATGTTTCCGAATCAAGAGATCTGACCAATCAGATCACAGCATTTGGTAACAGGTGCCCTTGTAGCTCAAATCTCACACTGGTATGAATATTCAATGATATGGAAATACAGTTTGTAGCTCAGACACAGCTAGACGCTGCTCTGGGTCCATCTGAATGACCTCTCTGAGTTCAAACTGCCATCCTGAAACATGTATGTACGCTGTGATATTCTCCATGTTGCTGCCTGCTCGTGAGAACTGGAGGAACTCGGAATCTCTGCTTCCTCCTTTTCTCCTTCAGGATCATCAGGACCAGATCCATCATCGCTTCAGCTTCTTCTTTTGTTTTTAAACCGTTCGTTTTTTGAGGACGAATTTTCCTCAAAATTCAGTGTGTATAAGTCACACATCGGTTTAGATTGATCAAATCTGGAATGTCGTGTTGTCTTTAGGAACTGTGTTCGGTGTATAAATGTGACTTTAAGTGTTTACAGAAAACTGAACATCCTCACCTCAGCTGAATCTGAACCATATAGTCTCTCCTCCCACCTGGTAGAAAGTCTCTGAAAAAGTTTAAATCAGTTAAAGTCGATTTTAAAAACTTTTTTCAGTTACTGCAGATGAACTGACCAATCAAGAAACAGGCTTACCGGGAGATGCACACTTCTCTAACTTGTTGTGGCGTCAACGCAAAGATAAAATATTTTTCCTGGTGGTACCTCTGAGCTGTACTCGCTCCTGTCAACAGAAACCAGGGCTGTCAAGTCAGGTTACAACACACACACACACACACACACACACACACACACACACACACACACACACACACACACACACACTTTCTCTGTCATTTATATTTTGGACAAACGATCCTGACTTCAATGATTTCTCCACTGAGATCGGCACCATCTCTCTGTTAGCTGTTGTTATACTGACTGTTGCCCCACAGCAGTGACTTCTATCATCATGTACCTGAGTACACTGAGTCCATCCTCACCCACCCACGACCTGTTTCAGTCTGCATCCTTAAAGGATGCCCTCTCTGGTGCTCTCAAACCACTCATGTGCTACTGCTGTTCCTGCACTTCAGTTCAGTTCCTGTTCCATGATGGTAACAGCAGTAACACCTGCAACAACATCATGCTGCGCAAAAGGCTCCACAGCAGCGTGTGCTCAGCCCACTACTCCTCACCCAGCTGATCCACCAACCAAATCACTGGGTTTCCAGACGACATGGCACCATCAGCGTTGCTGTTGACGCCTCCACACTCCTCCTGCCTTTGGGAAGGAGGTACCAGGGCATCCAGAATCTGTCTGAAAGACTGCTGAACAGCTTCATTTATCAGGCTGGGGAGGTGTTTGGAGTTTCATTGTTTTGTAGTGTTGGTCATGTGACAGCCTTGTGTGTCACAGGGTTTAGCTAACCCAGTATTTAAGTTCCAGTTTGTCTTGTGTTTGTTTTTGTAGCTAATATTTGGAGTCGAGTTTATCGAGTTGACCTCTTTTCTTGGTCTGCCTGTCCAAGTTTTGGATTTGTTCATCATTTTTCATATTTCAGGGTAAATAAAAACACACTTTTGGATTTAAACACCTGTGTCCTCGATGCTGTTGATGTCTAATTAACTGAAATTACAAATAGATTTTTGGGACTAGGACAATCAAATTAATTACATTTTCTGTCCTCTAGATGGCAACATTGTGTACTGATTGTCAAGCAGACGGGACAAGTTATGAGCCAAGTACACTCACTCCAACAGTCATGTTGGGACTAGGGGTGGGCGATAGAAACGATATAAATTTGGCCAACGATAGAGATTTTGATTACACCACTCAATCACGATAGAGCATGTTGATGATGTCATCAAGCTGCGCCTGTTTTGGTCGAAAGCATCGCAGCGGCTACAACCATTATCATCTGCAAAGGCGGGCGACAGTCATAGCAAAGAGATGAAGCACTGTTGAAATATGGGGAAAGCCAAAAACTGCGCTTCCTCCACTTCGGTAACATTGATTCATTAATGTTGAATTCTCTGGCAGCTGCTCTGTTCCCATGTTGTTGCAGTATATTAATGACTAACCTCGTATTGTGGATGAATAATCTCAGTTGTTCTCCTGACTTAGTTTGGCCCGTGTACAGCATCCTGCTATGTGATTACATTTGTCCCTGACCACCAGAGTCCCTCACGTTAACTTTTATCGAGTGGAAAAAAGTTGGCTTCATCCTCCAGCTTCACTGTGCTAATGTTATGCTAACATAGCTGTGTCGCTAGCAGTCACGTAGCACAACATCATATACCAGGTAGTCCAACTTCAGTAACCCTGCAAACGCCACTGCTGTTTAGTTTCTGTCTTCATTTATGTTGGAAGTGGCAGCAGAGCTGTACGTTTGAATTAGTTTCAAAAATCTCTCAGTCAGAACATGGTATGAAATGTTTAGGTGGAAACTAGTGAGCTAACTTCCTGCTAACTTCTAACTCCGTTAAATGTCATAAATTCCGTTTTCATGGATGCCTGGATGTTAAACTTCATTGTTACACCTGGTAGAGCAGAACGCTGATGATTTTATTAAAGATGAAAGAATTCAGACCGTTTTTAACTCTCAGTGTTCGTTTGATTTGGGACCTGAAAAGGACGGAGTTTTGGACCCAGCTTACTCCGCGAAGCTCCTCCCTACGGCAGCCGTAATGCTCTGACCATCCATCAAATATTTTTAACAGATTTCTGCAGCCAAAATCGGTTCGAGGTCAGTAAGCACAACCAGAATTCAAACATAAGGAACACTCGAATTTTGAGAAAATTAAAGGATTTTAAGTCCTTATAGTGTGAAAAATACGCTATACAGAAGAAAAGAATATATCGTGATATATATCGTTACCGCACGTGCTTCAAATTATATGGCAATATGGATTTTAGGCCATATCGCCCAGCCCTAGTTGGGCCCATTTAAAGTAGTACTGCGGGTATAAAATACTCACTGCAGTGTTCTCCTGAACGACACGAGTCACCACATCAGCACTCCTCTTCAATTCAGTTTTATTTATAAAGAGCCAAAACAAAACAACAGCTGCCTCAAGGTGCTTTATATGTACGGAAGGAAACGCAAAACTGGAAAGTTCAAAGGTTTTTCCCTCATTCTTGCAACATGTAGATAAGGTCTGGATTACACCCCACTGTGGAGATGAACACCCGGAGGCCTGATGCACTGCTATACCTCTCTGAACTGTAAGTGAAGTCTGCCACCTGAGGCAGGCATGCAGATCAACACACAGATCCAGTCTGACCACATTCATACCCAGAGGTGGCACAAGTCACTTAAGCAGAAGTGCACACTCGTAATAAGTAAGTCCTCTGGTTTAAGTACTGTTTCTACCAGCTGTTCTTGTGCAAAGCTACCTGAATGTCATGCAACAGCAAAATGATATCAGGAAGGCAAACGTTACATCTCAGTCTGAATTCTAATGAACGTAGTCAGTTTGAATCAGTCGAACATGAGCAGAGACAAGGAAGATGATTTTAAACGAGCTCTATTTCCTGTTGTAGAGCTGACTCCACACCTGAACAGCTCAATGAGTACAGTCAGGGTTTGAGGTGGGCGTCAGCGTGTAACAATACTACAGTAGATTTCCTTAGTGTTCAGGCTGTGATCAGCTGACCTGCTGCTCTCGGTGGATGTACACACCTGAATTCAACCAGATGTAAGCAGATGTTTCCTGAGCCGTCCTGGCTGATTTCCATCCTCTGCACTGCTGTCTTTATATTAGACCGTTTAAAGTTGGTATGAAGGTTAAATTCAGTGAACTGATCTAAGAATTATCAGCCTACCTTCTAAACGTCCCAGTTTACCCAACCTCGCCTCACAGGAAGTGCAGTATTCTCCTGAGCCATAGGTGTCACCACTCAGACTACACCACCATGTCAGTGCTGACAGAGGCGAGGAAAAGTCAAAACTGGAAGTCAAGACTTTGCCGAGTGTTTTTGTTCTTTCCAAATTGTTCCAGCGTCTCCTTCTGTGTATCTGCACGTCTCTGAGCTCCTGTTCTGGAGCATCATTAACATGGGGGTAAAAAACTCTTCCACCCAGATGGGCAACGCACCTGGTTGTAAAAAATCAAGACCAGTCGACACACCACAAGTTTGAGTCTTGTGACACATGATGTGACGTCAAACTAAGCGGCGCGGTGAGCGTGAGGGCGCCATAAATCATCCCTGCTACCCTCGATGTAACCTAACTGACCATGAGCAGCACTAACACTGGAGCAGCTCGAGAAAGCTTCTAATTCACAGGAAATGACGCAGTTCATCCACCTGCTGTGAAGAGGTCATGGAACAGGAAGTCTGACACCCCTGCAATGGTTTATCTGTGCTCTACACTGGGCTCAGTTTACACGAGTAAAGGCCGACATTTCTTATCGTATTAACCCAATAACACATTTGACTTTCAGTGTTGAAAACAAAGTGAAAGCAGACCTAGACTTGAAGGTTTGATCAGAACATCCAGCACATCGTAGAAGGGAAGAGGCTTCATCTGCACATCAGGGTGGACAGGGGGGATGGGAGGGGCTGGCTGCTGGAGATTCATGGTGGATGTGGGGACACACGGCTGCTTCACCCGTCTGTGTTACAGAACTTACTCCTGTTTAACATAGAGAAATGAATGCGTATTTACTATGGTTAGCCTTCAATCAACAGAGAACAAGCAGCAGTGATGGTTGGACCTCCACGGTTGGAGACAGACTGGTAACACAGCTCCTTCATACGTAAGCAGAGACAGCCTGATACTGAGCCCAGTAACACGTCTCGACGGTAATGACTGAATACTAGCATAAAATAAAAACAAATTAAAAGAGTTTTCTACAGTCATACTGATGCACTGAGTGAAAAAAGCACAACTGTGTGATGTAGATCTGAGCGTACAGTAACATTTTTAGAATAATGTTGCATAAAAAAGCAAAAGAGGCCCTTTTATTAGTACTTTACAATATTATAACTGCAGGTGTTTTATCAACGTATCAACATGTTGTTGCCTCAGGGTTTGACTGGAATAATAATGTCATAATGTGAATTCATTCATATCAGCTGACGTACAGCCGGCTGCTGTGAGAGGACTCCACAGTTTCTCTGGTTCAAACATTTTCCCAGCAGGTTCAACACAAGCTTGTTTTTACTGAATAAAGTGTTTATTTGTGTCACTAAACTAGTCACATGTCATCATGTGTGAAACACACACGACAACATGTGGGTTACTGACACACAGCAAGCTTCAGCTTACATGGTTATCAAGCAGAGACAAAACAGGACATTTCTGCCACGATCCCACAGCAGAGGGACGGGAGCTGAGGAGGATATAACAAATCTAATATATACTACTCATAACATTACTTTCAGGTTACTCTGTAAGATAAGCTGAAACACACTGTCTCATAATCACCATTTAACAATATAACCTGAGGCTACAGCCCCACACACCAGCACAGATGCTATCCTGATGAGGACACTCGTGATCTTTCTCTGAGTGTTTATGTATGAAACTAGGGGTGGGCGATAGAGACGATATACGATAGAAACGATATAAATTTGGCCAACGATAGAGATTTTGACTATACCGCTCTATCGCGATAGCGCATGTTGATGATGTCATCAAGCTGCGCCTGTTTTGGTCAAAGCATGGCAGCGGCTACAACCATTATCATCTGCAAATGATGGCGGGCGACAGTCATAGCAAAGAGATGAAGCACTGTTGAAATATGGAGAAAGCCAAAAACTGCGCTTCCTCCACTTCGGTAACATTGATTCATTAATGTTCTCAGTGTTCGTTTGACTTTGGGACCTGAAGCGGACGGAGTTTTGGACCCAGATTACTCCGCGAAGCTCCTCCCTACGGCAGCCGTAATGCTCTGACGATTCATCAAGCAGTGCGGCTTACCAAAGTTGTACTAAAACATTTTTTAACAGATTTCTGCAGCCAAAATCGGTTCGAGGTCAGTAAGCACAACCAGAATTCATACATAAGGCACACTCTCGACTTCTGAGAAAATTAAAGGATTTTAAGTCCTTACAGTGTGGAAAATACGTTATACAGAAGAAAAGAATATATCGCGATATATATCGTTACCGCACATGCTTCAAATTATATCGTGATATGGATTTCAGGCCATATCGCCCATTTCATAATGAAACCAGCACAAAGACACTTCAAAGTGATTCTACTGTAGAAACATCAACAGGTAGAAACCTGCAGCCTGACTGCTCATCAGTTTGCTGCCTGTTCAAGTTCAGCAGCAGCTCACTTTGTAACGGTGCTGGTCTGGGGTCAGCATTTACTCAGCTTAAACGTCACTCTGGGATCTTGGCTAGTTTAGCGTTAGCTTAGCATTAGCATGTTGTCTGTGCAGGTGCTTGTAAAGAGCTGAAGTTGTGTTAACAGTGTGATTCTGTCCTGGAGCAGTCTCACTTTACCATCACGCTCTCATCCTTTTGTGCAATAAAAATAAAAGTCATGTCCACGCTGCGGACTGCGCTGCTGTGTTCCTCCTCCACAAACTGAAATCAGCTGATCGTAGCGAGGGTGCAAGAACTGATAACTGGGATCTATAGGCAGACCGACTAACGATTCCAAGAAATCCTCGTTTCCCAACCCTAGAGGCAGGTGACATCCACACAGTAATTGTCTTTTTTCTGTTCGTTAAACATGCTAATCATCCTTCATCTAGTCTCCCGCTTAAAACACATTCTTACAAAAACTACTGCAATCCATCAGTGTCTCCCCTCAACTGTATGGTATCAACTTTAAAACATCCTACATCATCTCATCCTCAACTTATCACATTCCCAAGATTCCCAGAAATCGTACTCTGACCTTTAGGTCGAGGTCACCGAGGTTGGAACTCATTAGAAGATGTTGAGTAGATACACTTATGGTACTAAATGAAAATCCTGCGTCGCTTCATTCTGTAGGTCTTCCTTTTTTTTTTTAAAGTAAGGTCACGTGATATTTTGTGTGGCAACACTAATCCTAACTCTATCGATACAGGCACGCCACAGGTCAATAGGATGCTGAATTCACTCCCTGCTCTCACACATGATCTCCAGACCTGCATGCACCTCTTCCCTCTGAGCCCCCCCTCCAAACATACAAACTCTGACCCACCACCATCAGCCTTTCATTGACTGCCCCACTCCCACTGCACACGAACTTACCCACAATCACGACGATTGTGTTGGACACTGCTGTTTAAATAATTGTGTAGTGTTGTATTGTGTTGTACATAAAACTTTTTATTTTATTTTGTTTTTATTTCCTTCTCTTTGTATTTTTAGTGTACACTGGGGGAGCATTGCAATTCCAAATTCCTGTGTACGACTGTACATATGATCTTTGACAATAAAGCTGACTTTGACTACTAAACGAGAGGGCCCATCTCACCTGAGGCAACCTTTCTGGACACAGCTGCTTAGGCTGACTGGTTAAAAGGTCTAATTTATAAATGCAGGCAGATTTCCAAAGAATGAGTCTTTATCAACAAGGACAACTGAAAAGGATTCGCCTGAGCAGCTGCTCTGGTTATAAGAAGGCTTCACAGCAATAATAAGCAGTAATATCTTCATATGAATTTGTCTCTACGTGACAACAACATGTTATAGTGATTTATCACAGCTGCTGTATCATCAGGAATGAACTGCATGTAATTTGAAACTGTCGGATGGCAACATTTATGACAGATACAGTGTTGGTGTGTTTGACAAAACTCAGAACTATCTGACTGAATTAAACAGATTTGATGAAGTTTAACTTAATTTGCAGTTGAAAAAGATCAAATGTCAAAGTTTATTATTACAACGTGGATTTGTTATATGTTTGAACTGAAAACTAGAGCGTAAGAAAAGTACTTCAATCGTGTATTTCCTTGTGTTTTTAATGAATCCATTTGAACTTTCAAAAGCGAGTTTAAATGTTTGTCTGAATGAAGGTGACAGACCTGATTTCATCAGCTGAACAAACACAACTGATTCTAGTTTCTCAGAACTGAAGACGAACACACAACAGCACGGCCAAGTGCCCAGCTTAGTTTGTCCTTTATCTGGGGTCTTGTTTCAGTGTCACGTCCACGGTGAGTGAACCCACGACAGTGTGATGATACAGACGCGGTGAACGAGCGCTGGATCAGGAATATTTAACACGACATGAAAGCAAAGTTTCTGTAATCTCGTTACTAATAAAATGAAAACCCGGATGTTTTAACATGTTTGTGTACATCGTGTTTAACTCACAGCCTCGCGATAACTTTTGGCTAATCGGGTGTATGTAGTTTTCTCGATTAGCAGTTTGGTTTAAGATTCCCACGGAAACTATTATGTTTCTTACACCATACCTCACACTCATGTCTGCCACATACAACACGTAGTACATCAAGACAGTGTGCGAGCTTCAGGCGCATTAACTTATAATAACAGCGGGTTGTTGGGAGCTAGCAGAGACTGGCTAGCCTGTGTTAGCATCAGGGCTACATAGTGAAACGTCCACGATTCCCGTGACTACGCTCCTCCCTGCCTGTGGGCGCCCACCTCGCCCATCACTCACACAAACACACATCAGCTGCTTTCTTCGTTACAAGCTTCAGCGTCAACACGAGTTACAGGTTGTGTTTTGTTTTCGCCTACCCGAAGCACCACAGTCCTCGCCATCTTGTTGTTCCGGTCAGTGTGATCACTTCCAGGTGACGCTACAGTGTATGGCGTTATTTTTGTGCCAGGCAGCTCCGAAAACGTCAGAGCACTTGTGCAAATATGTGATGTCTATTATATGTGATGGTATTTGAAGTTTACACAGAAACATTCTCGCATGAAAATATCTTTAAAGTTTATTTTGTGACGCAGAAAGAGTAATATTTCAAACTCTGCCACTCTGTGTTCCTCCGCCACTGCCTCGTTTGAGTTTTGAACGAAATGCATTCTGGGATATTGCATTTCGTCATTTCGAACTGATTGGAGACCAGAACAGCCAATCAGAGTTTTTTGCATCCAAGTCTGTGATTGGCTGGTTTTGTGGCACAAATATAACGGTGTAGAGAAAGAGTTGAGCGCGCACGGGCAGAAATGTTGAGAGCGCGAGCGACACATTGCGAGCGCAAATGCAAAAACTGTGCGAGAGGGGCTGCTGGTGTGTGTGTGGATAATAGCAAACACGGAAATACATCTTTTGCACGCAGGAATGAATTTTGTTCACTCAAATTTAGCTTTTCTTCACTCAAAATAAATTTCTCCTCAAAATGCAACACTTGCACCTGCAAACTTTTTTTACGTGTGCTCAGAATAGTGGCACAAAAATAACGCCATAACAGTGCGGTTCACTTTACAGCAGCTACAAGGAAACTCACAGTGAAGCCTGTCACGACAAGCAAGAGTCTGAAAACTGCTGTTGTTTAACATGTGTTAGGAAATGGTCCCACAGCACGTGTCAAATCCTCGCTAATTTATATAGATAAGAGAGTGAGACCGAGCTCTTTAAGGCCACCGAAGCAGCATGTACCACCGAGCTGATGGGTCCCACTATGGGCCCCGGGGACAGACTGGGTACAGCCTGCCGTGGGTATTGCTGCCGTGTCAAATGTGGCGCATTGCTATGGAACTAAATTAGGATCAGAAGCTTTGTTCATCTGGAAAAGTGATTTCCATCTGTTTTTGACATTTAAAAAGTAAAACAAACAAGCAGATGAATTATTTTGAATAAAGTATCCTTTGTCTGTTTTCTGTTGTTGTTTTTTACAGCTGCAATTTTTTCTTCTTCTTTTTTATCAGTTTCAGATCTTTTGGCCATGATTTTGTGTTGTGGGCGTGTATCAAGGGCGGGGCGTAGAGTAACGAGTGACAGCTGGAGCAGCGTTGGATGGTAGTGCTGGAGGACGACTTTGGAAATCAAGAGGAAGCGAGTGAAGGCAGAGGCAAGGATGCAATGGTAGGAAATGAAGAGTAAAGGATGCTGCACAGATTTCAGGGAGAGGTTGAGACAGGCTCCGAGTGGCAGCAAACATGACTGGAACAGTACAGCTATAGGCTGAAGGAACCTGTCATGAAGGTGATGGGTGTGTCCTACAGAGGAAAGAGGACAGTGAGACTTGGTGGAGGGATGAGGAAGTGCAGGAAAATATTAAAAGGAGATTACCAAAGAGACTGGCAAATAAAAAGTGGGACCGGAGGTGCAAAATACAGACAGGAGTACTGGGAAACTAGGCATACAGGAAAGACAGACGTGGCAAAGGAAAAGCCTTAGTGAGTTGTATGTGAAGGAGGGAAAGAACAGTGCTGAGTGGCTACACGCTGACAGATGGAGCTGGAAAGGAGCTGGAGATAATCAGGGACAGGAATGGAGATGTGCTAACAGGTGATGGAGTGTGCAGAAAACGAGAGATTGAGGAGCACAGATGGACAGTGGGTGAGTCAGGAAGTGACTTAGAAAGGAGGAGGAGTGGAAAGGCAGCTGGTCCAGGTGCCATACCTGTGGAGGTATGGAGATGTCTGAGAGGGAGCAGTGGACTTCTCAGTAGGCTTACAGCAAAGCAGTAAGAAGAGAATCACAGCATCGTTTCAACCTGTTGACCAAATAATAAAGCAATCTTTGATGATTTTCCACCTAACGTGCACATTTGCAGACACTCTTCTTCCTGTCGTCCTCTGTTGATGCAAGTGTTCAGGTATTTCTGACTGTTCCAGGTTTCATGTCTGTAGTTTTCCCAGTTTAGGGAAAGAAAGGGGTTTGTCTTTTGGTTAATGTTTTGCTATCGGCCATAATGAACGACACACATTTGTCAAAATCTAGTTTTGCGTCTGGTCGTCTGTGTTTGGGTCGCCATGATCACTCCACGCGCTGTGGCACTGCAGACGATCAACATAATCTATGTTATAAGAGCAGGTTTGTGGTCCACACACACTGAGTAGTTCTATAAAATCATCATGATTGTGTATTATCTTTCACTACGTGTCAGATCTTGTCCTGTTCTTAGCTCTGTCTCTTTCTCACCCTCTCTGTCCTGCTCTCTCAGTGCTGTCACAGCAAAGTGTAACAGTGAAACAGAATTTACAACCACATAAATGCCATCAGACTAAGGTTAATTAATAATTTCTAATAACACAGTGTACACATGTTTATAAATGAGACGGTGCAGTCTGAATATTCAAACTGAAGGTGGACTACTGCTTTTCAATGTTCAGGTACAAGGATGACCTGCAGAGCTACATCATCCTATACTGAGAGAGACGACGGTCATTGCACAGCAGGGTGGTGCAGCACATACATGTGTGCAGCAGTGGGGGGGTTACATCAGAAACGTGCTCTGAGCCGTACTTGTTTGCAGTGCTGATGGACAGATTCTCACATGTTTGTAGCTTTAGAACGAAAGTGCAGGGCGAACATGGATTTGCACGTGATATTAAAGTAGAAACATGAACTCAAATAAAACTTTATTGTTGAAAGTGTTGCACAAGCACGTAGAACCTTTTTGCTCTCTGCCATCCACACGGCTGTTGCATGAGCCAATTACAACAGACTGACAGCAGAGCTGAGGGTTAACCAAGCCGACTCATACAGGTGTAACTCATCATGCGTTTTCAGGGGTCTACATGCGAACACCTGCATTAATACTAACAAATAAAGCGGAAGCAGACACAGCTGGGTTCAGGCTCAGGTCTCCCCCCGCGGCTCACAGCCCAACATGTTGGTAACATACATAATTACAGATATCCCACATTTAAACACGTCGCTTCCTGGCGTGGACATGTCGGCATGTTCACAAACAGGCGGATGTCCAACCTGATCAGCCTCAGCGCAGGAACAGACCCATATTCCCAGCGCAGTGAATTCTGGGAACACACAGTAGTTTCAAGATGGCGGCGAGCAGGAGGCTGGCCAAGGTAAATCCGTCGTTGCCGTTCTTTTTGATCGTTTCTAATGTTTAAGGACGTATTGACGGTTAGTGGAAGCGTCCGTCCTTTGGCTCGTGTTCACGTTACAGAGTATATTTGCATTAAGTGACCGTCAGTGTCCAGCTGTAGCTGTAGCTCAACAGAAACAAGAGGTCAGCATTGACCACCTAGCCGACCAAATATTAACGTTAGGCAACTAAGCAGTCCCAAATCAGGCCGGAGGATCTACAGGGATCCTGCCCGGGGCTGCCAAAAACCTCATTCAAGTCTCTTATCTACAGTTTGAACGTCAGAAACTCTTGAGTTGTGTGACCGAGGGAGTCAATCCGGCAGCGGGCAGCCCGAGATCGTGTCAATTTCCACGGCATAAGACGTTTGCTAATCAGCTAAGTTGCTATCCCCAGGTCTCAGCTAGCTACACTTCAACTTAATCAGACTTTGAAGTTCGCCATTAGGAAGTGGGTGTGAACTACAGCGCAGCGTTACACTTCCAGTAATGCGGCCTGAAGGCGACACACACTAAATGCTGCTTTCGTTTTGTGTAGTGGTCGTAGCATATTGCGTAAGGTCTGCGTTAACCTACGTTTGTTTCCCCGTGATTATCGTACACTGCGCTGAATGAGGCGGTTACAGGAGGCTGTGTGTTTGAAGTTTACCCGGAGTAACAACGCTGAAAGCACGGGGAGCAGAGCTGGCCTGGAACCGGCTCACTGATGCAGGTGGAGTTATTCAGTGCGGACATGCAGATTAACATTAACAGGATTTCATTCACGTGAAACAAACGTCGGTGCTGTTGGACCGTAAACCGGCCACACGCTGTTTATTAATCACAATCACTTTACCCTAAAAACGTGTTAGACACGTTTACACCGTCGAGCTGTGCAACAAAAACCTGCCACAGATGGAACCACGAGGCTGGCTGTAAGTGCCACTCACGGGGTTTCAGCTAATAGCTAACATAATCTAACGTAAGTCAAACTGGTGACAGAACCAGTAACCTGGTGGCAAACTAGGAGGTCCACTGTGGTGCTGCTGGATGCAGGTTGTAGTTCACTTTCACTTTCACTGTTGGCTGCTGCACTGAAATGAAAGAGAAACGCTCCTGTTGGCTGGAAGGCTTGAGTTTGTTTAGCATGTGATGAATTAGGATGAAGTGCAACGCTGCTCCTTTATGCAATGAAATAGTTGCAATCCAAGCAGTTTAGAGCTTAACAGGTCACTGGACACACACTGTGAATAAAACATGTAGCGCTGAGCACATCCTCAGATCCACCATATACAACACTTCTCTACGAAGCTGAGATGTTGCAGTTGGTTTGTCATTTGTTTTAAGTGACATGTTTCATTGTATAGCAGCTTTAATTTTCTTTACCTGAAAACACTGGAGGTGGTGCTGTTTAGTACTGGGGACCTCTGAGGTGGATAACAGGAACCAAACCAACATCAGCTTGTTGTTTCTTTGCTCTTACTTTCTGCTTAGACTTCACATCAACATTCAGGAAAGAACATAAAGAATTTCAGCGCAGTTTAAAACCTGGTGTGTAGTTTGGAGGCTGCGTCTTCCTGCTACGCTGTCCTAAACTGGTGGTGTCATTTGGGTGGTGCATCCTTCCACTCTGTAAAATCATACATGTTTTATTTTTCTTGTATTGACTGTAATAACCTTTCTAATATCAACTGTGTGCTCGTTCTTTCAGGAACTTGATGAGATTCGCAAGTCTGGAATGAAAAACTTCAGAAACATTCAAGTTGAGGAATCAAACTTACTGGCATGGCAAGGGCTGATTGTTCCTGTAAGCTGCTGTTCCTTCTTTGGCTGGTCTGAGATACGTAGGCCCGAGGTTCCCCT